GTGTGTGTGTGTGTGTGTGTGTGTGTGTGTGTGTGTGTGTGTGTGTGTGTGTGTGTGTGTGTGTGTGTGTGTGTGTGTCCTCTAATCTGGAAGGAAGATCACACAATGGCCAATAGGGCTAACTGGTGAGGGAGCCTGGGAAAGTTCTAAGAAAGGCAGTACTATTTTTCCATATATATATCCTCTCTAGCTGATCATTCTGGGGAGTTGGAAAATATAAGTGGTACTGCCTTTCTTAGAACTTTCCCAGGCTCCCTCGCCGCATAGCCCTATTGGCCATTGTGTGATCTTCCTTCCAGATTAGAGGACAAGTGAGCAGCTTCCTCCAACCCAAACACTAAGGATGCTGCATGGGCCAGGTTTCTAGGCACTGAAAGTGCATTTGGTCTTTCATTGTAGGGAGTAAATGTTCTGCTTCTGACATGCATCGAACCATCACCTAAATCATGTCGGGTAATGAAAAGCTATTGAGCTGATGTAATGCAATCTGTTCCCTTGAAGGTCAGCAGCAGTGCTTATTCTGAATTAAATGCATCATTTGGAAAAAAGCTCAGTGAGGAGTCTGGCAAGTTTTCACTCATGTATTTCCCTTCAGCAGGTCCCCCAGAGCCACCAAGTTCCATGAGAGGTCCTTCTGGAAAAGATGGGCTTCGTGGGCCACAAGGGCCTAGGGGTGAATGAGATGAGAAGGGAGAGCAAGGGCAGCCTGGACAACCAGGTGAAAAAGAACAATCTGTTCACTTAATCTTATGGGGGTGGCAGTGTCTGTCTGTATGTGCCTGTGTCTCTGTCTAAAGCAACCTAGAGAAAAATGGCCATAACTTTTTTAACTTTCAGTTCTACTCCGAAAAGTGACTATGTAAAAATGGCATCTTCTTACTCAGCTGATCTTCTCCCTGTGTCTATTCAGTTGTGTCTGCTGGCTTTCCTGGCTAGGATAACTTACTGTGGCTTACTCCTGGTATTGCTGCAGAAGTGATGCAGCTGAAAATGAGAGAGCTAGGACTGCATTGGTGTCACTGGGTGCATTTCAAAACCTGCAGCCATGAGGCTCGGAGCTCAGGTCTACAGCCATTTGGACTCAGGCTCTGAAGCCCGGGGCAGGGGCAAGTTTCACAGCCTGAGCTCCAGCCTGATCCTGAATGTCTACAGAGCTGTTTTTAGCACAGTAACGTAAGCCCCATGAGTCTGAGTCTGTAGACCTGGGCTCTGAGACTTGCGGCTGTAGGATTTAAAACAACATGTCGACATACCCATTACAGGCATAACTGGGACTGCAGAACCTTCACACTTAAGGTATATCTACAACAACTCAAGTAGCCACACCGGACCCCTCTGAGGTCCTAGGTACAATGTAGGTGACTAGTCCAAGCTGCTGCCTAGGCCACCACGGCCATATTGCTATTTTTAGCATGCTAACTTGAGCAGAGCTGGTGTGTGTTTGCCTGCCTGCACTGAGACACACCCTCCCAGCTGCTGGTAGGCATAACCTTAGAGATGATGTACCAGTAGGAAAGAGTGCAACTTGTCTTTCAGAGACTAGGTTGGGTTTGTAGCACTGGAAGTGAGAACAAAAATGTCTCTCTTTTTGCAAAAGAATATGTTTAATACAGACATCCTAGAGAGACTATAAACCTGAATCTCCAAAATGCCATCGTTACAGAGTCACTCTTCAAAGTACAATCGTACTTTAAACATAAGAGATTAATTTAATCAAGCTAATTGACACTGTACAAGCTGACAAGAGATGATTATATTTCTGCAAGGTTATCCACAAGGTTTGAAACCATGACCAACAGCACCAAAGCTTCTACCTTCCATTATTATTACCCACTTTACAAGTCTCTTACTCTTGGTTCTGCTCCACCACCAACACCTCACATGGTCAGGGCTTTCCAGAGCAGCTATCAAGTCACAAGTAGTATCTCATCACAGCAAAATCTACTTCTCTGACCATACCCTGACCGCAGGCCATCCTTTATCATTAGCAGGCTGCAGACTAGAAAACTAGCAATTATAGCCCAGATTCTCCTGACCAACCAGGTCCCAGGGGGATTGGAGGTGAAGGGGATGAGTGCTATAAAGATGGCTTTTAATCTACCTTTTCAGCTTCCCAGTGCTGTGGCCAGGAAGCATTGGAACAGCCTGAAGGATGTTATATCTTACACCATCTGTCAGTGGTCTCAAGGAGTCTATACAGTATCTTAGCATCAACCAGGCACAGTGGTACGCCTGCCAAACCCTCTTTTGCCTGGCTTGGTACTGGACTGATGCAAAGCACCGGTGGGGCATTAAAGACTCTAACTCAAAGATCTCAATTTTAATTATTCATAAGTGGTTCCCTTCTTAAAGTAGTTTCCATGAACTTTGTTCTTTATCAGGATGGTCAGCGTATTAAAAGGCCCTTCATTTAGCACACAGATAAAAATTATTTCACATAGAAAATGAAACAAATGTAACTCAATCACAAGTGTTTTAGAAAATTGCTATTAATTTTACACAATGACGTCCACATTATCGCTGAAGCCTGGTCCTAACACTTAAACTTAAGGGCATAATTATTTTTGTTTGTCCATAGGCCTACCTGTTTCTCGTGATCCTGAATTAGAAGAAACCCTCAAAGGATTCAAAAATCAAATTGCCAGACTGGAAGGAGGTAATCTGTCTGCTTTTGCTTTTTGCCCCACCCATAACTTGATTAACAAGTGTGGAAAAAATAAGCAATGAAATACCAGCTCTTTAAAAATAGTCCGAGTCTTGTTCCATTTATTTTTACATTCTTTTTATACAAAGGAACAAGGATCTCTGGGGATGGACAATGATACATTCTGTATTGTATTAAATAAGTTAACCTGTGAGCCATATAATTAGTTACCAGCCCCATATAACTGTCATGGGTTGTCACTAATGCAAAGCAGCCAGAGATGGCTTATTGCAACAACTCTTTTCTGTGCAGAAGTGCTTTCAGGCGTATCTCTTTGGGTCACCTACACTCTGTGAGTGACCCTGATGGCCATCACAGTTAATCTGTGGCTACAAAAGTGACAACAATGTCATATCTAACTAAGGCCTGCAAAGATTTATGCATGTGCCTAACTTTATGTACTGTGAGTAGTCCCATTGAAGTCAGTCCCATTAGTCAGTGTGTGCAAAGTTAAGCAGGTGCATTAGTCTTTAAATCAGGGGTGGGCAAACTTTTTGGCCTGAGGGCACATCAGGGAATAGAAATTGTATGGCAGGCAATGAATGCTCACAAAATTGGGGTTGGGGTGTGGGAGGGGGTGCAGGCTCTGGGGTGGGGCTGGGATGAGGAGTTTGGGGTATAGGAGAGTGCTCTGGGCTGGGACCAAGGGGTTCGGAGGACAGGAGGGGGATCAGGGCTGGGGCAGGGGTGTGGGCTCTGGGGTGGGGCTGGCAATGAGAGTTTGGGGTGCAGGAGGGTGCTCGAGGCTGGGATCGAGAGGTTTGGAGAGTGGGAGGGGGATCAGGGCTGGGGCAGAGGGTTGGGGCATGGGGAGAGGTTCAGGGGTGCAGGCTCCGAGCAGCGCTTACCTTAAGCGGCTCCTGGATGCAGTGCCATGTCCCTTCTCCGGTTCCTATGCGGAGGTGCGGCTAGGTGGCTCTGCATGCTGCCCCATCAGCAGGCACTGCCCCTGAAGCTCCCATTGGAGCACTTAGCAGCTGGTGCGGGGCCATGCCATGGCTTCTGGGAGCCGCATGGAGCAATAGTCTACTCAATTTAGCAGGTCATTGATGTTCCATCCAGAAGAGGGCAGTGCTTGGTAGGATAGAATGACAGCCTATGCTCTGGGTTTTTTTAATCTGGGGGTGCGGAGGGAGAGAGAGTTGTATGAAGTTTGCAATTTGTGTTCCTTATTTTATTCGGAAGGGTTATTTTATTATAGAAGAATACAGAAAGAGGGAGTCCCCATATTGTAGTAATCATGAGAGTGTAAAATGATTCAAAAAAATTTAACAAGATCTTTTGCTGTACTTTACAGTCCTTGCCATGGATGGGACCATAAAGACATTTGGAAAAAAAATGTTTGCTACCAATGGGCAAGAAGTCGATTTTGAGACCACACTGGAAGCATGCAAACAGGCGGGCGGCTCCATTGCATCTCCCAGGAATAAGGGGGAGAATGATGCTGTTTTCAGTATTGTGAGGTTATTTAACAGATATGCCTATCTGGGCATTAAGGGGGGTGGGATTCCAGGTAAATTCAGTTTCCTGGATGGAACAGCTGTAAATTACACAAACTGGCATGCAGGTGAGCCCAGTGACATAGGGAAAGAAAACTGCATGGAGATGTGCACTAATGGTGCCTGGAATGGCACAAGTTGCAACCAGTACCGCCTCACTATCTGTGAATTTTAATCCTTGCTCCTACCTTTCCTTCAAAATGTCGGACATCTCTAGGGTCCTTTGAATTCTTTCTTTCATCCACAAACAAGAATCTGTTTTCTCAGCATTGTAGTTAGTGACTTATGTGATTGTTCTGTATGAGAAAATGAAAATCAATAAAGTCATGATGCACTATCTTCCTTCGTGATATTCATTAAGGCAATGCTAACCTGCTAACCAAAAAGGGAGAGCTACTGTAACCACAGCACTGACTAATTTACAGGATTCCTCTCAACCCCACTGGGCTGCTGGTTTCATTTAGAAGCAGAATTTGCAATGTTTAATAACAGTTATGATATGCAAGCCTAGTCTACCAGCCTGGACCCATTTGGGACACTAAGGGGTAACCTATGAACAAGAAAAACTGTATTGTTATCACATATCTGGTGATCATCACCAGGATGGATGTAGATGCTGGAAGTGGTGCAGTTTTTCTACATCATGTAATGTTTAAATATTATTGAGCATCTAATCCAAAAGTGTCATAAAATCACACAAAGGGCCACAACTCATAGAAACATAGTTTAATTTTGACCAAAATTGGCAGAAAGCTTCTAAACACAATTAATAATGCAACTACGTACTCACAATACTACTGTTTGGAAAGTTTGGGAAATATTTAACTCCAGATTATTTATTTTCCCATACTTTGCCTTTGTCTGTAGTCACACAAAAGTATGAGCTTGTTTGTACCATATAATGCATAAAACTTTTTGTAATTATCTGTAGAATAGACTGATTTGAGAACAGTTTTCCATCTGCTATTTTTATGAAGTTATGCAGACAATAAGACCCCTGCCACCTAATTATAGAACTTTTTTTTTATTATTCGCTCAACCAAAGACAAATTTAAAGTACACATGGTACATCTGTAATTATCTCCTTACTATCACTGAATACAATGACAATACATGTAAACTACTTATATAACAGTAATGACTCTTAGTCGAGGGCTATAGAATGTCTTATATGAATATATCATGTGAATTACAAAGTGTAACTATGTGCTGTTATGGAACCCCAACATATAACTATGAGCTACTGAATGTCTGGTGCAACATTATTACTCCCTCGCCGAACCTGTGACTGATAAGTACTGTACTCTGTTGCTATGCTCGTCACTGTCACAATTGCATGCATTAGAATACACCAAATCTTCCCTCTGACATTTGCATCTCCTTGTTGCACATGTACTCATAAAGCCATACTGCACAAAGGTGGGGATAGCTTCTGGAACAGGTGGCAGAACCAGTATGTTAGGAACAAGATGTCCGGTGCTACAGGGGTCACTTGAAGATACTAACTGTTGCATGAGTCCATATGTATGATTGATAATTTGCACGTTTCAGGTACTGTCTGAAGGAGTTCATTGTCGGTGGCAGTTTCTCAGTGGTATGTTCTTCTTAGCAAACAATTTGTAGTTCACATTATCCAAAGGTGCCTGCTTCCCATCACAGTACAATAAAGATACCAGTGAGACCCACGCCGCTGAGTCTGAAAAAGCTGCCTTGGGTGGGACTGCAGTCACCTACCTTCAAATTCTGCTAGTGATACCAAGCAAGAACTTAACTAATTCAGCTACTGCTTGGTTCTTCATTAACTCTTTGGTTAGGTCAGGTCTGTCCAGGCCATGAATTCAAAATAATGGTCCTAATTTTTAAAGTCATCAACAGGCAGAGACATAGCTACCTGCTAAACTGTCGTATCAGCGTTGCTGTGTGACTGCGTCTGAATGTTTCTGCTCTTTGCCCTCAAAACCAATAGGAGTAGGCTTATAACTAACAGCAGGTGGTTATTTTACTGATACCACAAATGATGGTTCATGCTTGTTCTTGGGATGGGATGAAATCACTTTTCTTTTGCTCAATGCCAGGGAAAAAATAAGCAGGATTCACATAGATCATCTCTCACTAGCTTTCCCCAACACCCAAAGGCAATAATCCAAGTATTGTTTCTACCAAGTGGGGCTGCTGTGAGCAAGGCATGGGCTGCCAAAGAGCCACACGCAGGCTGCAGTCACATAACTGTTTAAACGTTCAACATGCTCTAAAATTGTTAGACAGTCAGATTGGCTTTGAAATTTGTATGCTAGTAGAAGGCCTTGAGTACCATTTGGGGTCATGGTCAAGGGGTGCCAGATACACAACTCCCTTCCCCTCCTGATAAATGAATTGTGTTTAATTTTAAAGTGCTCACAAATGCAGAATTACATTGGCTTGAGCAATGGTATGCTAGACCAGAGGTTCCCAAAGTGGGCGATACCGCCCCCTGGGGGGGGTTGGAACGATCCGGGGGGCAGTAGTAGCCTCGGGTGCAATTGGGGGGCATTGAATAAAAATAAGGGGGCGGTGGAAGCATAAAGAAAGAAGAAAATATAAGAAAAATTTGAAAAAACGTTCGTACATGTTTCATCTGTTGTGTAACAGAGTTAAAGTTGAAGTGATTACTTTATTTTCCAAATAAATTCACAAATTATAACCGATCAGGTGCCAAGTCCGCCAACAGCTCTTAACAAGCAAGTGTTGGCAGGCGAGCGTGTCGCGCATTGTCGGGAAGTCCAGCATGCATCAGCAGGAATATGTGCGTATAATGACTTGTTTACAATACGATACTATAAATAGGCGACATGTATGAAATCTAATTTAGATTGTTTCTGAATTGTGTAAAAAGCAGTTAACAATAGTGCAGTAAGTATTTAAAAAATTTTATTCATATTAGATACCTTCGATCTTTACGGATTACGGATCACATAGAAAGCAAATTGTATTATTGGTGTTTCAGTAAAACAGCAATTTACACGTGAGTATTTTTATACATTTTCTTACATATCTACCGTACGTTTCTGTGTCTCTAGTGCTTACTAATAATAAAATCGTAGCAGGCTTGTGTCGGTAC